CTACTGTGTCTTCCTAAGGACGGTGTTTGTGGCATTTGAGTGACACCCCACTGTAGCATGAATATTAAAGAGTCTTATTAATAAAATCAAACCTGAGGCCACTTATTGGGGTGAATACTGGAAGATCAGAGAGACAGAACAAGCCACAGCTAACCTCACCTGGCCAACTTCTCAGCTGATCTTGTTTCCTCAGACTGGAAGCCTCTGAGTCCTCATCCAGAATGGGTCTCAGCTGAACTGCTGCTAGAAGCCTGAAAGCTTAACCAGCCAAATGCTTAACCAGGCCAAATGCTTCTAGTTTCTGGTCTTCACGCCTTATATACCTTTCTGCTTTCTACCACCACTCCCTGGGATTAAAGGCTCACTTTCTGGGATTAAAGGTGTGTGTCACCATGCCTGGCCGTTTCCAATGTGGCCTTGAACTCACAGAGATCCAGAGGGATTTCTACCTTTGGAGTGCTAGGATTAAAGGTGTGAGTGCCACCATTTTCTAGCCTTTATATCTAGTGGCTGTTCTGTCTCTGACCCCAGGTAAGTTTATTAGGGTGCACAATGTTTTGGGGAATATAATACCACCACACCCCACTCCATCATCGTTGCCCCTCATGGTGCTGCATTGGAATTTCCATACCTATCTCTGATCTAGAGCTAGAACTTCACCTGAAAGGTAGTCTCCAGTGTCTCTCACCCCTTCCCTTCACTTCCAGCTCCCTGTGTGGAGCTCTTTTCCAGTGGGAAAGGCCTGTACCTCTTCAGCCAGCCTCCACTGATAAGGGAATATAATTCATAAAGGGGCAGACAAAAGAAACAGGCAACTGTGATCATTGTTTTAAAACTACACCAAGCTGGACATGCTGGAAAAACAATTTATCACATACAAGAGAACTTGGGGAAACCAACAACTGACTTATCAGAAATTGTCAAGAAAATAGATTGGTTGAGAGAGAGCAGAGGCCAGTAGACCAGAATGTCATTGAAGCTGAAAAACCGTCGACAGAAGCAGTTGGATAAACAAGTTGAGAAAATCCAGCAAGCTTTGAGCTGCCATTTATCTATCCCTCTATTAGTAAAGCGTAGTTCACAAACTAGGCACCAGTTCTGTCCAAAAAAACATTGTTATTTTGTTAACCAGGGTCATCCTGGCATGTGTACTGCAGTAAATTTACCTTCCTTATTTTGACTTTCATGGGTTTTTTTTTACCGAAGATAAATCCAATCTCAGTTTTTACTGTATTCATTTGTATCCTCTGAATATTTACAATAATGGTTTATCTATATATTTGTATGCACTATTTTAAAACTATGCCTGGTTTTTGTTACTAGGCTTATGGAACCTGACCTCTTTAGGTGTGGTTTCTAAAATATGAGACTGATGTAATTATTTTAAGGATTCTTCTCAAAAAAGTCTTACCTTTAATTTGTTACCATTAAAAAGGATTTTTTTTTTTTTTTTTTTTTTTGGTTTTTCGAGACAGGGTTTCTCTGTGTAGCTTTGCGCCTCTCCTGGAACTCACCCGGTAGCCCAGGCTGGCCTCGAACTCACAGAGATCCGCCTGGCTCTGCCTCCCGAGTGCTGGGATTAAAGGCGTGTGCCACCACCGCCCGGCTTCATTAAAAAGGATTTTGAGGGCCAGCAAGATGGCTCAGCTGGTAAAGCTGCTTGCTGCACAAGCCTGGCAACATGAGTTCAGGCCCCAGAATGTATGTAAATGTGGAAGGAGAGGACTACTACACAAAATCTTTCTCTGATGATGATGTGTATGCCGTGTATATCCATGCAAACATCAGACACTTGCATCCAACAATAGTAATAAAACCAGAACATTTTTAAAAGGATTTTGAATAAGTTGGACCACTCTTGTGTTTTTGTGTATGTCTTCAATCATGGACAAACAAGGGCTGTCAGTGCCTCACTGAGAACACTCTCTAGTCGTCCTGTGTAACCCTAAAAGGAGCCGTCCATTTGACAAATGGTCTTTACTGGAGCCTCACACACAAAGAAGAAAGTCTGGCAGGAACATGGATGATTAATGTCAGAGCAGGGATAGCTCCATCTGCATCTCTGCTTCGGTTTACTGTTCACGTGAAGTAGATTTTCTTACTGCAGTTATGCTAGGTGTATTTCTTTGCTGTCTTCTTTTTGACATTTTAATGTTAATTCTAGTCACTACTTTATAAGCTATGAAAATGTACTAGTCTACAAATAGCTTTACCTCATTTAAATTTTTATACAAGATGAAAATAGAAGTTGGAACAGTTTTCCTGTTTGATAAACTTACTTTAAAGCTGTTAGAAAGGATGTAAAGCAAGACTCATACTGACATTCAGTTTGCTCTCTTAATGGGTTAAACAAAACGTTACCATAGCCTTTTCCCCCCAGAGGTGAAATATATAAACTGTATCTAAAAACTGAGGTATTCACCACTTACTAGGTACTAGCAATGTATGGGGATGAGGGGTGGATCCTCACAGACCTGGCCACTGCCGAGTATAAGTCAACGCTGGCAACTTCCTTACCTGTATATATATACAAATAGAGACTGCTGGGGAAATCGATCAAGACAGTGCTGTGCCTGGTGCACAGTATGTGCTCAGTGTCAGCACTTCTGCTACCTCATCACTAGCACTACCGATATCATGGAAGTAACAAACCTCCTACAAAGCATACAAGGACCCCAAGACTTCTCTGTGGACACAGAAAGCACAGCACTGAGGTCCACTAGACCTTGCTGATTTACCAACACTGCCCATGTCCTCCCTTCTATTCTATATACAATAGAATAGAAGCAGGCTTCTATAACTACAGCTTGCCCAAATTTACCTTCTCCCTTGCCATATCAGTCCACCAACTCCTACAGGATCCTTGCTGTCATTACACCTGGACTGCAGAGTTAACTAAGTTCCTGCTGGAGTCAAGTATTGTAACACCTCCCTCTTCCCCTGAAAACCTGAGGCATATTCGCAGACTTAATTCATTTTACAAGGACATTAAAGTAAATACCTATTATGTTTGGTCTGGGTACTTAGTTCATACTAAAACTAGAAAAACACTAAAAAAAAAACCTTAGAAACCTTCAAGAACTGCTAAAAAACGGAAGTACAATGAGTTCATAGATAACAATTGATTATAAAGAGGGTTTTTTTAAGCCCTTTAAAAAGAAACAAAAAACACTATCAACATTACTAAACACTAGAGAAATCAGGATGTGGACCCAGAACAATTGCCAACTAAATCAAAGATTCTTCAAATGCTGCTATGGAGGGAAATGGCTTAATAGCCTTAAAAGACAAGGACAAATTTGCAGGTTTTAATGTAGTATGGTGTCATGTAACACATAAAAGTATTAGACACTAATAAACATAAGATTAATCCATGCAAAATTACTTTCTCTTTTCCTCAGTGTGGTGTCTTTCTGGTCCTTCTATGGGCAGAGCCTAATAAGAACCAGAAATGTTTGCAAAATTCCAAAGGACTGTTCTCTTGGCTCTATTTCATTACTGTCATGAAATACCAGAGACAGGCTAATTTATACAGAAAACATGTTTTATTTAGCAAATAGTTTTAGATTATAAAAAGCTATCTTGACTGCCTCACCTCAAGGTAGACTGCAGTCTTAGGAGCCATCACTATATGGTGGAACAGGAATCCAAACAAAAGCTTGGCTGGAACAAGGCCTAAGCCTTTCCTAACAATCCTCTTGAAAGAATTGATAATCGTTTTTTAGAACTCCCATTTGTCATAACCAACCACTAAGCCCACCTAATAAAGCTTTCACCTCCTATCATACCAAGAAGCCCTCAACACATAAACTTCTGAAGAAACAAATATCAAAACCACAGGAGTGGGTTAGAAACATTAAGAACCAGTGTGGTGTTCTGAATTGTAGTAAGATTGGGCAATAACAAAAATCAGTACTCTTAGAAGATACAGTGGGTATATGTGGAGGTTTACTGGGGCGCCAACTTCTCAGTGGGCTTTCTGCCTTGTGTAAAATGAATCCTATTTCAAAACCTTGTTCCCCCTGTTGAGATTAACAGGAAGCATTTACAGTCTCAGTAGTGTTTTGACAGGAAGCTATGCAAGGGCTCCAGGTAAGTCTGCATAGCTAGCTGAGGCTTCAAATGAAAGATCACAACAGCAATGGCTGAGGACTACCCCAGTAACTAGTCATCCTCCAGTCAGCTAAGCTGGAACTGTTCAAATCTTAGTTTGCTGGCATGTCTTCACCAAGACAGAGGGGCCGGGAGCCCTCTTTCAACTACCGGGAGATGGGCAGAAAGGTGGTTCTGCAACCAGGCTCTCAAGAGAAGTCAAAGCACCAGTGTTCATCTCCATAGGCACCTTGGTGCAATTCCAAGCATCTGGAGAGTGCATGAGGGTGAATGAACTGTACCCATGTCTTACAAATCAGTGGTCTAGTGGGGGATTTAGTGGTGCTAAGTCTACAAAAATCAGTAAGTGCTTTCTCTATTAACAGGATAGATAATATGTCAATCCAAAGGAATATTTCCATTGTCTGAACAAGTACTTTGTTCTACAACACAAATTTATTTTTTTATATTCTTGGAGATCAGGAGTCTAGATCAGCAAGGATGTGCTCCTTTCAGAGGTCTTCAAAGATCTGTCCTTTTTCTCCTCCAGCTTCACAGTCTGCCTATATTCACCACTCATGGCTCCTCCCTCCATCTTCCAACCAGGAACATAGCATCTTATTATGCTTTGTACGAACTCCCTACTATAAAGGTTCTTGTGGTTAGATCAGTCCATGAGGGAGTTCAGGATGGCTCCCTTCTCAGCACCAGGGCCCTACTTTCATCTGGAGACTACCTCTGCCATGTGAAGTTACGCACTCAGAAGTTGTGGACGTCTTCATAATAAGTATTTACTAAATTACTAAATGATTACCAGAAGTGTGTGCCTAGTTACTTGGAGAAGATGTATTTTATTAAAGGTTTTTACATGTTTCTTATGTTCATATCTTGGTTTGTCTGTTTTTAAGGATGTTGAAGAATCACAAAACCACACTGGCGAACCCATTGGAGATGACTACAAGAAGATGGGAACACTTTTTGGTGAACTGAACAAAAACCTCCTCAACATGGGCTTCACAAGGATGTATTTTGGAGAACGAATTGTGGAACCAGTAGTGGTCATTTTCTTTTGGCTTATGCTATGGTTCCTCGGCCTACAAGCCCTTGGACTGGTTGCTGTTCTTTGCCTTGTCATTATTTATGTACAGCAGTGAAACACTGGACATTTGGTAACCATGTATGTAACTGATAGAGCTATACACTTGGGCTTTTGAAAGCCCAAATGGTTTGACATATTTCATATTGTGTACTGACTGTTTTGTAATTAAAATTATAAATGAATTTCTTTAAAACGCAACTCTTTGTTATAACAAGGATGAATATATATATTTTTGACTATATATTAGCTTATTCAAACTCTTTTTCACTCCTGTGATCTGTACCTACCTTGAGACATCTTCTTCCCATGCCACATCTGAACATGACCCAACAGTGATGGGAAATAGCATTGCATGGAGCTGCAGTGAAGCGATGTAGATCTTGAAAAGTTCCAGTGAAACATTTTGGAAGAAGGGAAAAGTAGCTAAGAATAAGTTTTAATTAGGAAACTGTTCCACCTCCACCTCCACTGAAAAATCCCATTTGGGGAAGATAATTTGTCTCTTGGTCGTTTCTGCGTAGTCCAAAACAAAGTAAAGGATAACTGCCACATACCGCCGTAGTGCTGTGAAAATGAGTAACGCTAGCTGTTTCCAGAAGACTGAAAATAATATATTTATTATCGTTGGTGAAGTTTTGGGATGTAATGTTAGTTTTTTATGTGTTATCCTTGGGCCTTCATTACATTGTTTGTAAAGTTAGAGACGACTCTGGTGCTCATTTTTCTCCTTGTGAGTTTTAAGGCTGCACGCCTGGCAGTGCCTGTAATTTGTACCTAGCCAGTTGCATGTCTTTCTTAGAGATGTTTTCAGTGCATTTGTTTCCAAAAGTTTATAATTTTATAGTTCTTTTCTAACCATTATTCTAAGGTTTAACACAATGCCTTTCCTGTCATAGCATGGTGCCCACCCCCAAAGAATGATTTCTATCATATAATAGACAAAAACCAGATCATTTTTCTTTGATATCTGTATTGAAGAATACAAAAGTACAGAATAAAATCACATGCTTAAATTGAGAACTCGGTGGCCACTTGTAATATTCTAGGATTAAAGCCAATTGGCTAGCCATGTTTTTACTGTGTACTATGGGGTTTTATATTGAAACAATCATTTCTTTAAATATACTTTGAAAATGAAAAGTGACTTTGATACTTTTGGTTTTGTTAAAGTACCTGAAATCTTTACCATTTTGTCTAAGAGTCATCTATTTGAACAAAGAAATTTAAATACAAAAATGGGACAGCGAGGTATTTTTGTTTGGCAGGGCCTTAACTAAAGCAATAGGGTGTTTACTAGGCTGCTTTGTAAAGTTCTTACTCATGCAGTCTTAAACATTATTCTGTAAGAAATTCTGAAACAGAAAATTATGAAAACAGGAGTACTAACATGTATTGTGCATCTGTGTGTTGTGTATAAACATAGGCCTCTAAAATTTGGCTTTTGAAAAACAAAAGTTTGTACTATATTGTGTTTTTATTGTGTTTGTGATTATTTTTATAACCACCTTTCTGAGTTGAGTATCAGTGCAGGGTGTTTGGAAAAAGGTCCCCTTTGTGTACAGTAGGATTGCAAGGTTCTAAAAGAAGCCATGAGATTTTGCATGTGTGCACAAAATGCTAATGAGTACATTCTTTCCTAGTGCTACCAGGAAGGCTAATTTCCTTTTGGAATGCAAAATAAAAGATGCAGTGTACATAATAGCAGCTCTGGTTCTACCAGTGCTTCTTGTTGTAAATGCTTTAAAAGAAGACCTAGGGTTTATTACATAATACCCTGTCAACACTATGCATGTGCATGCTGGTGTTAATGGGTATATTTTATGAAGAAATAGGGTCATTTGCTATCACCTCCACATACATTATGGATTAATGTATATGCCATCAAAGTTTTTGCTTAGTATTGAAAAAAACTTCATATAAAATATGTTCTCTTATTCAACATGGTAGAATACCGATTGAACTGCTATCCTGCAGTGAAACAAAATTTCTTTGGTTCATGGTATTAAACAAATAGATTCAAAGTGATTCTCAATTATTTCAGTTTTAAATGTAAGTTATAGAAAGACTCCTTATAAACCAAGAAATAGCAGTTAAGTGCTAAGGTCCTCAAATTGCTGGTGTGAATGGCACCCATACTTTGAGCCTGTGTTCGAAGGAAAAGTCAGGAGCTAACACCAACCGACCGCTCATCTGTAGACCAACCTCTTTGAACTGAACAGTATTTTGTACAACTCATTTCTTGTGTTAGGCTGCCATTCTAATCAGAACAGAGTGCATTTGTACCCAGAGCTGCTCACAAAGAGCCTATACTGTATGTTTTCCTGCCTTTGGTGACATCAAGTTGGTAGATTAAATTGGTTCTGGTGAAAATATTTACATCATAAAATTTGGCAAGCACTACAAAGGAGGACTTTTTTTTTTCTTTTCTAGAGAGCCAGTTGTTAAAAAATCTCAGCATATTCTCAATCAGCCACCCTGGAGGCCACATTTCCATGGCTACCACAGTCTACAAAGAAAAGCAGACAACAAGGTTATGAGACAAGAGAAGCACATGCAGTGTGTCCCCACATACCCATCCAGAACCACCGTTCCGTCTTTTCCAAGGGAGGCTGGACCATGGTTATCTTTGAAGTATGTGTCTGATTGAACACTGTGAGGAGAGAAAATCTCTCTGGGCTGTCAATGAGCTGCAGACCGACAAGGACAAGCCAGGAGATCAGGAGAGGAGAGACAAGACTTAAGGCACCACGAGTTTTGGCTTAAGTTAAAGACCAATTTTAATTTAAAATCTTAAAAATAGTCAAATCAAGGCAGTGAGAAATCCAGAGATCTTTAGTTTATAGCTTCTATTTAAATTGTTTCACAAATGTTTCTTGATTACAGATTATTGAAATTGCGTTTGCCTTACAAAGTGAACAAAAGAAAAAAATCAAATTATACTTTCAGATCTGCTAAAACTCTAGTAAATACTTGGCCAGGATGAACATACAAATTAAAGAAGAATACACAAGCCAAGACTTTGGCATTATTGGCAGATTTAATCTTTTGTAACTCCTGTTTCTCTACCCCAGATGTTGATGTTCCTGGAGGTCAGACCAGCAGCCTGATATCTCATTACTCCACACACCTCCTGTTTGTTGCTATGTGTACTAGCTGCTCCTCCATCTGGATCTCCAGGTCAGAGCACTGGGCAGACTAGAAGATCCCTCGGTTTAAGGGCTGGCTGCTTGCTTACAAAATTCCTCAAACTCAGCACATTCAGAAGACCTCACCATCTTTCTCCAAAGTCTTGTCTTTGCGTTCCCCTCCCCTTCAGCATTGGCACAGCCAGCCTCTCTCTAGCTCCTGTCTCTCCCATACTGCCCACATATAACAATTCCTAAGTCCTGTCTGTTTTGTTTCTAATGTCATTTATCTTTCCACTTCTCTTCATTCCCAGCATCACTCACAGTCCATGCAGCCATCTTCTCACCTGGGAGAATTTTCACCTCGGAGAATCCCAATTGGTTTCCCTATCTTCATTGCCCACTCTGTAGTTAAGTAATATTTCTAAAATATGGCTTTGATCTATCTCCTTGATGTCAGTGTTTTTAATGGCTTCTTGTTGCTGTTATGGCAAAATCTATTCTCTATAATAGTTATGTCGCTTTTCATGAACTATTCTTCCACACCTCATCTTTCCATGTCACTATCCTTTCCAAGACTCAACTACACTACATGCTTTCATCAGCTTCTTGAAAGAGACACCCTTTCTTCCAGAACTTCATACGTGCTTTACTCTCGTTAGCCCCAACCCCCACCCCAACTGGCCAACAACTCCACGGAGTACTCAACTTAAACATTGTTTAACTTCCACTTTAAGTCCAGTTTGGGCACCTCGTGTGCTTGGTTCCCCTTTTCTGTAGAAATCAATCAACAGTACTCATGCTATACAGCCTATTTGTCAGTTTCTTCCATTAGATAGTAGGTTTCTCATGGGCAGAGAACATGTCTGTGTCTATAGGTACGTTGCCAGTGCCTACCAGGACACCTGGCATGTAATAGGTTCTCAAAGTAATTGTCACATGAGTAAATCAACCTCCTTTATTCACATTCTCTCTGTTGTCTATTAACAAGGCTGGGGATATGGCTTGTGGCTCTATGGCAGTGTGCTTGCCTTGCGTGCTTAAAGCCCTGGCTTCTTCCCCAGCACTGAGAAGAAAAAGAAGGAGGAAGGAAGAAGACCTAGAGTTGGTTGCACATCAGAATCCCAAAAATAGTAATTGTTGGGTGCTAGAGAAATGGCTCAGCAGTTAAGAGGTTATGGCTGCTCTTCCAGAAGTCCTGAGTTCAATTCCCAGTAACCATGGTGGCTCACAACCATCTATAATGCGATCTGGTGCCTTCTTCTGGCATGCAGAAGAACACTGTAATATATAATAATAAATACATAATACATATATAATAAGTAAATTATAATATACATATATAATAAATAAATACATAATACTGTATACATAATAGTCAATAAATCTTTTTTAAAAATAGTAATTGTTCATAAAGAGTGGTTGGGTATGTATATTCTAATAACATTTTTTACTTGAGTACTGTTGCTGTTTGTGTACATATACAGCATTGCTACCATACATTCACATTTTTAGGGAAAAATGCATTGTTGATGCCATGTTTGGTTGAGTAACTATTTCTCAAGAAAGAATGTTTTATAATAGATATGTTACTGATGGTACTAAAATTTCGTTCTGCCAATATTTTTCAATTAGGTTTTATCTGCTAAATTTAATTTTTTTTTTCAAAGAACCTTAAAGCAAGAATTTTCAGATACCTGATCTTGATATTTTAGGGCTCCAGAACAAGTTCACCATTCCACTTAGCCCAGCAGCCCAAATGTTCTATGTTAAATAGCAAGCGTATAAAGTACTTCGCTAATCTTTCTAATAAACAATGTTCTTTTCCAACCCCGCATTCCCAGCATCTCCTCTGTCTCCCTGCACCGTATGCTACTCTGTAGGTAATTGCTACCTCATCAAGTTCGAAATTGCCAGAGTAACAGCACACCTGAGGCAGAGTAAAATGCACCTACTCATCCCTGCAGCTGGAGCAGAAAGCCAGCGCCTGCCTTTTATGTATGTGACACATAAAAGACAGTAGAGAAGCAGGAAACTGAGGTCAAGATCCCCCTCTGCCTCCACGCGGTGTGTGTTCTTTTTGTTGATTTGGCTGCTGTATAAATTAGAATTCTTGAAGAAGCCTGGTGAGATCCAGAACAGGCATTCATATGCTTAGTCAATCTGAGCTATCTTTGCTTAATTTAACCTTTAATTGTTGTAAGTTTTCTTTCAAATTTCCCAGAACATTAGAGGTTAAAGTGACTTATTGTATGATTCTGTACCCCCATGTTATGATCATGGAATTTAAAATGACTTTTTTTGATGAAGAAATGAAAAGTCTATATACACGAATTATTAATACTATAAGTTGACTTAAGAAAAAGATGTAATTATTCTTCCTAGAGTAAAATGTAAAAACACCGCCCTTGCTTGAGAACATACATCATGTACTGAAAGCCCTTCTCTGGTTTGTTACAGTCACTTTGTTAATGAGGTTTCTTGGTTTTAGGTATGTAACATTAAAAATAGTCATGATGCATTCTATTAGCTAATATATTTTCTGTTCTAAGGCGCAAGCATATGTGTAATAAGTACAATATGAAAACAAGGACTCAGAAGGAAAAAGGAACAGTTCTCCCTTAGGGTTTCTATTGCTGTGAAGAGACACCATGACCACAGCCAACTCTTATAAAGAAAAACATTTAACTGGGGCTCACTTGGAGTTCAGAGGTTTAGTCCATTATCATCATGGCAGCATACAGGCAGACATGGAGAAGGAGCTCAGAGTTCTTACATATTGACTAACAGGCAACAGGAAGTGGTTTGTCTCACTGGGCGTGGCTTGAGCATATATGAGACTGCAAAGCCTGCCTCCATGGTGACACTTCCTCCAACAAGACCACACCTACTCCAACAGGGAGGCCACATCTCTTAATATTGCCACTCCCTTTGGGAGCCATTTTTTTTCAAACCACCACAAAGATCAACAATAAATTAGTCTTGCATATAAAACCATGGAGATAATTTTCCTTATTAGGTAAAAATATTTAAGTGTGAAACCAGTTTGATTTGCTTTCACTAAAATCCTACATGAGTATTCCATATACAGAGGCTTCAGAAACTGTGGTCATGTTCTGTTAATTCCAACATGAGTTGAAAATATCTTTCGTGGGTCAGAAATACATTTAACCTTAACCCACAAGAATATCATAGTTTAGCAAGTTGGTGCAAGAGAGTGTTAATTATTTACGCCCATGATCCTCTGAATGATTTGAGAGCTGTGGCTCATTGCCATATCTCACAAGACTGCCTTCCTGCACATCACTAGCCTGGGAACTGATCAAAACCAAATTTCGAAGTACAGTCTATACCAAATGGTTTTACTTTCACGCCATTATAAAGTTAAAAACGAGTCAATCAAACCATGTTCATCAGGGATATTCTGTGCAAATAAAGCATAAGAGTCAGACTGCTGTGGTATTTACTCTAGGTCAGGTTCCCTGGGATGTTGACTCAGACCAAAGGAGCACGCAGGGAACATCAGGAAGGCCCTGGGGTCAGCACGTGAGAGCAATAAAAGAAGCCAGCTCTGCAGAGAGCCAAGCCCATAGAACAGGCCGAGGTAGCACCACGCAGTGCCCCAAAACCATCGGGGCCCTTCAGCACTGGCACAAGGCAGTGCTCTTTGGCCAAAAACAATCTTCAAATGTGTCTGAGGGATAGAGGGGTCAGCTAGCAGGTATCAACGTAAAGCCTTCAGTCTTGAGGGGGATCAGAGCCACACAATAACAGCATCTACTCTAGACTCCATTCTTTCCTCCCTTCCCATGGTGCCTGAGTCCTTCCAAAGCCCTATTTCTAGTTGGGTGTAGCAGTGTACCTCTTTAAGCCCAGCTCTCAGGAGGCAAAGGCAGGCAGATCTCTGAGTCTGAGGCCACCTGTTCTTGGGAGCGCTATGCAAATGACTACATGGGGATTTAGTTGTGTTGCCTAGTTTCTCTAGCAAGTCAGATAATGAATTGCAATAAAGTTTTTATGGACTGTAAACAATATGTCCAACAAAGACCTCCTGACGGTATTAGGAATGGTGAAAAGGTACATAAAATGTCACCATGGAAAGTCATAGGACATCCATTTTGTGCACATAAACTGCTTGATTACTAGCTCACCCAAGGCCTCATGTGGCAAATCATCTTCAAAGCTTGGCTTTGAGCTGGAGGGTTCAAGAGTGGATAGAGCTGTTTCCAAAACTCTGGTTTGAGCTTTCTGGCTCTGTTCCAGTTCTCAAAGTAGTCTGAATTTAAAAAAAAAAAAAAAAAAGGAAGAAGACTTTCAGAGCATGTTTGAAAATAAGATATTCAATGTCAGAGAAGAACTCATTTATAAAGAAACCATGTCCTATGCCCCCACCACCACCCTAGCATAGAGTCCCAGCCTATTTATGACTTGGCTTTAATCTTGATTTTCCTACTTATTTTTAGCACAAAGGATCCTTGCATCCAGATTTGGTAGTTCAGCAGGCACACACACAGAAAGCTTTCTCCAGTCTCAGTCCAGAATATTGTGGAGCCCTTACAAGTACTTTTAGCTTCTTTTTTTATCCCTGAAATTGTAGTCATATAACAAGCTCAAGTAAGACAACGACCCAAAGCCAGTTATATACCAAAACTATAACAGTGTTTAGCCATAATTTTTCCCTTTGCTTATAGGAAAATATGAGTACTATGTTCAAACAAACTTTCAGATCAAAAGATTTCTTTATGTCAGATTTGAATTTAAGAGTTGGCTCTGCTGTTTGCTAACTGTAGGATTTGTAAAAATCTTATCTACATCTTTTTAAACTTCAAATACCTACCTGTGAAATGGTGAAATTAATATAACTAAATAAAGTGATTTACATATAGAAAACTTCCAATGTTACCATTATTAAATATAAATGTTGGTATCAAAGGCATGGCATTTTCTTTAAAGCTCATGCATTGAGAGCCATTAAAGCTTATTCTATTGTTGGTGGAAGAAAAGTAAATATAATTTTACAAAAGAAAATGTGTTTCCAAGTCTTCACAATTTAAATCTTTGTGAACTGATACTGCTTCATGAAGTAGACTAATGAAGCCCCCAGAGTTGATGAGCAGGATACAGTGACCTGTGTGACTTTAGCTTTGTTTGCTTGAAACACTTAACCACAGTCCCACACAGTGTCTGTTGCCCCCTTTTCTTAGCAGTCAAATGAGAAACCACACTCAGTAGGGTACCCACAATTCTGCTGTGAATTTGAACATTTACAAAATAAAAGCAATCCTGAGAACATTTCTAACTTCTGTGTAACGTATGCCAAGAGAATTATGGGTATGTTTACAGAATCAGAGAGAACATATAACACTTTGTCATCAAAGTAAAAGTTAAAAGCTAATCCGCTAGCATAGATTATATTTTTCATGCACTGATTGAGATGCTTCACCAGTTAAACATGATTGCACTGGGTATAATTCGCACTCAAAATAGTATTCTCACATTAAAAAAAAAAATCCAACCCATGCCAATGTCCATGGATGCAGTCTGTATACAAGTAGAAGCCAAGCAATGTGATAAATGGGTAGTATTGTTTTCATAAATCTTACCCTTTTGGTCTATGAAAGCATGTTGCATTTATAATGTGCTATTTCTTTGATTTTGTTTTGATCAAGCTAACTCTGCCATTAAAAGTGTCCTATCTTGACCCACCCATTAATATTTTTAACCTGGCCCACCCCTTCATACTTCCTTTCTGCACACACAATTCTCCATGCCTGAACAGTAGTTTCTTGCGTTAGATGTTCATGGATATGAACTTTTATGAACAGCTGTGACCGATCATTATTCCATCTCACAGCACTTCAAAACTGGTTCTCCCACATTTTCTTCACTGTCAGGTTATGCTTGCAGGGACATTTATGAGATGTTCAGATAGAGCTGGGCTTGGCCAAGTAGAGTGCTCCTCAGGCATTTCATTTGCAAACCGTAAGAGATGTTTCTTGGGAGCTCTGTGCTGGGCCAACTGATCACAATTGCCTCTGAAAGGAAACACTGCATCTTCCCTGCCATACCATATTGCTGACACCCAGGCAAGGCTTTCTCCTGCCAACCTGGTTGGCAAAAGCCTTAGAGTATCAGAAGACATTTTTTGAATAAATTTATTTGTTTGTTTGTTTTACATCCTGGCCACAGTTTCCCCTCCCTCCTCTCCTCCCAGTCTCTCCCACCCCCCAATCCATTCCTCCATCAGAAGACTTTTTTTTTGTTTTTTTTTGGGGGGGTTGTTTTTGGTTTTTGGTTTTGGTTTTTTTGTTTGTTTGTTTTTGGTTTTTCGAGACAGGGTTTCATTGTATAGTTTTGGTGCCTCTCCTGGATCTCACTCTGTAGACCAGGCTGGCCTCGAACTCATAGAGACTCACCTGGCTCTGCCTCACGAGTGCTGGGATTAAAGGCATGAGCCACCACAACCCGGCAGAAGACATATTTTAAATGGCATAAATACCTAGGGGGAAAGGAAGACCTGAACTTTGTCTTGTTTATGATTACAGGAGCTCTCCTAGCATCATTTCCCGATGCTGGGTGGTGCTCTATGGTCTCTGCCAATCAAGTGAGACAAAGAGCTCCTGAAACCACTGTTCTTCACCAAATGAATCCCATCTCTGTCTGTGAATGCAGAACACTCATACCAGAAACATGGGACTGTTGAATCCTCAGAGTATCTCACTTCATATGGCCTGTCACCTTTGCTAGTCAGAGAGCAATATGAATGTACCTCATGACGAGCTTGTCTTGTCTCCTGAAGTCTAGGCAGGGCCCTGTTCCCAGAACTATGATTTTACTACAATCTGATTTTTAGAGGTGGCCTAGAGAAAAGATTTAAAATGTTGATTTTTGAGTAGTTTGAGCATGCAATCATAGCAAAACTGGAATAGAATTTACTGTGAGACACCATCTGCTGCCATTTTTTGCCTTTAAATACATAGCAAGGGACATCACTATGAACTCATCTGTGGTTTAATATAGATGCAGGTAAATAAATATAGAAATAAGCTCAGAAGTGAGTACGTATACTAAAGGTGTTGTGGTTTAAATGTAAAATGCCCCCTGTATTAGGGTGTTCATAGATATGTGAGTTGTTAGAGTGGCTTACAGACTGTGGTCCAACTAGTCCAATAATGGCAATCTCCAACAGAAAGTCCAAGAATCCAGCACTTGTTCAGTCCATGAGGCTGGATGTCTCAGCTGGTGGTCAGTAGATGCTGGAGTCTTGAAGAAGTAGGCTCTGATGCCAGTGAAGGATTAAACTTGCCAGTGAGAGTGAAGACAAGCAGGCAAAGAACAAAAGCTTCCTCCTTTCATGTCCTTTATATAGGTGTGGTCCAGATTTAAGGTAGACCTACCCACCTCAAAGGATCTGGATTAAAGATGGGTGTTCCCACTTCTATTGGAGGATTTATTAAGGCAACTCCATGTAGTTAAAAAGGAGGTTTATTTTGGGGGTAACTTACAGCTAGTAAAGGGGTTGATTACAGGATCTGGGAGAGGTGAGGTGCAGTTCAGCTGGGTT